ATATATGCATGGGTTTATTTGTGGGCACTCTGTTCTGTTACATTGATGTGTGTGTCTGTTTTTATGCCAGTACTACACTGTTTTGATTACTATAGCTTGTATTATGGTTTGAAATCAGGATGTGTGATGTTTCTAACTTTGCTCTTCCTTCTCAAGATTATTTTGGCTATTTGGAATCTTGCAGTTCACTACACAATGTAGGAAGTTTTTTTCTATTTCTGTGAAAAATGCCATCACTTCAGCTAGTATGGATGTTTTAACAATACTAATTCTTTCAATCCATGAACACAGAATATCTTTCCATTTATTAGTGTCTTCAGTTTCTTTCCTCAGTGTCTTACAGTTTTCAGTGTACAGATACTTCACCTCCTTGGTTAAATTTATTCCTAAATGTTTTAGTCTTTTTGATGCTATTGGGATTGGTTTCTTGATTTCTCTTTCTGATGGTTCAGTGCTAGTAATACAGAAATGCAACGGACTTACAAATACTGATTTTGTTCCTACAACTTTACTGAATTCATTTATTATATCTAACAGTTTTTGGGTGAAGTCTTCAGGGTTTTCTATAAATAATATGATGTCATCTGCAAATAGAGACAGTTCTGCTGCTTTTCCAATCTGGATGCTTTTTATTTATTTATTTATTTGCTGAATTGTTTTGGCAAGGATTTCCATTAATTATTATGTTGAATAAAAGTGGTAAGAGTGGGCACAAAAACTACTAGAGCTAATAGAAGAATTTGGCAAGGTAGCAGGGTACAAGATTAATGTACAAAAATCAGTTGCATTTCTTTACACTAATAATGAATCATAATGAATCAACAGGAAAAGAAAGTAAAGAAACAATCCGTTTTAAAATTGCACCCATAACAATAAAATACTTAGGAATAAATCTGACCAAGGAGGTGAAAGACTTATACATGGAGAACTACAAACCACTGATTAAAGAGATTAAACGTGACTCAAAGAAATGGAAAGATATCCCATGTTCTTGGATTGGAAGAATTATTACTGTCAAAATGTCCATACTACCCAAAGCAACCTACAGATTTAATGTGCTCCCTATCAAATTACCCAGGACATTTTTCACACAGTTAGACAAAATAATCCTAAAATTTATATGGAATTGCAGAAGACCCAAAATTGCCAAAGCAGTACTGAAGAAAAAGAATGAAGCTGGAGGAATAACCCTCCCAGACTTCAGACAATACTACCAAGCAGCAGTGATCAAAACGGTATAGTATTGGTACAAAAACAGACATATTGATCAATGGAACAGAACAGAAAGCCCAGAAATAAATCCACAAACTTTTGGTCAGTTAATCTTGGTCTTTACTCCATGGTATGTTGTTGCCTCCTTTGTCATTCTCTTCAGCAAGTTGTGTTGGGAAAACTGGATAGCAGCATGTAAATCAATGAAGTTAGAACACTCTCTCACTCCATTAACAGAAATAAACTCAAAATGGCTTAAAGACTTAAACATAAGACAAGACACAATAAATCTCCTAAAAGAAAACATAGGCAAAACACTCTCTGACATAAATCTTAGCGATGTTCTCCTAGGGCAACCTACCCAAACAACAGAAATAAAAGCAAGAATAAACCAATGGGGCCTAATTAAACCTATAAGCTTTTGCACAGCAAAGGAAACCGTAAGCAAAACAAAATGACAATGTACAGAATGGGAGAAATTATTTGCAAATGATGCTGCTATAAAGGCTTAATATCCAGAATATATAAACAGCTCATACAACTTAATAACAAACAAAAAACCCAATCTAAAAATGGGCAGAAGACCTAAACAAGCAATTCTCTAGTGAAGACATACAAATGGCCAACCAATAGGCACTTGAAAAATTGTTCAATATTGCTCATCATCAGAGAAATGTAAATCATAACTACAATGAGGTATTACCTCATACCAGTCAGAATGGCCACCATTCAAAAGTCCACAAACAGTAAAAGCTGGAGAGGGTGTGGAGAAAAGGGAACCCTCCTACACTGCTGGTGGGACTGTAGTTTGGTGCAGCCATTATGGAAAACAGCATGGAGATTCCTCAAAAAACTAAAAATAGACTTACCATATGATCCAGCAATCTCACTTTTTGGTATATATCTGGAGGGAACCTTAATTCAAAAAGATAACATGCACCCTAATGTTCACAGCAGCATTATACACAGTAGCCAAGACATGGAAACAACCTAAAAGTCCATTGACAAATGACTGGATAAAGAAGTGGTGGTATATATACACTGTGGAATACTATTCAGCCATAAAAAATAATAAAACAATGCCATTTGCAGCAATATGCATGGACCTGGAGAATGTCATTCCAAGTAAGCCAGAAAGAAAAAGAAAAATACCATGTGAAACAATCTCAGACTCAATAAATCTTATGGTTACCAGGGAAGGGGTGTGGGAAGGGATATATTTGGGAGTTTGCGATTTACAAATGTTAGCCACTATACATAAAAATAGATTTTAAAAAGTTTCTTTTGTACAGCACAGGGAACTGTGCTCAATATCTTGTAATAACCTTTAATGGAAAAAATATGAAAACAAATATATGTATGTATTTGCAAGACTGGGACATTGTGATGTACACCGGAGACTAACACACTTAAAAAAGTGAGAGTGGGCATTCTGATTCTGGAAGAGCTTTCAGCTTTTCATCACTGAGTAAGATGTTAGCCAAGGGCTTGTATATATGGTCTTTACTATGTTAAGGTACATTCTCCCTGTGCTGGCTGTTGAGAGTTCAAAACCGTACATACTAAGCAAAGAAACTGAATTAATTTGATAGACTGAGTATACAAGTTTACCTCCCAATGTCCAAAATCCACTGAAGTGACCGAAAAAAATTTTTATAAAAATTAGTCCTTCCTTCATTTGAAAAATGTATATTGCCCTCTTGCTGTGCTCTAGGTGCTGCTATGCCAAGCAAGGTTCCTGATCTCCAGAAGATTACATTCTAGTCAAGGCAGGGAGGGCAGAAGGAAAAAAATACAATAACCAAGCAAACAAGTAACTATCAAGGTAACTATAGATAATGGTGTAGACTACAGAAGTAATTAAACAGAATACTGTGAGAGTGAGTGGTAGGAGGGGGCGGGGGACTGTCTGACCTGTTGCACTCAGGGCGCCCTTTTAGAGGAGGTAATATGTGAGGTGAGACCTGAGCGAGCCACAGAACCAGACTTGCAGTATCTCTGGGATAGAATATTCCCCAGAGAGGAAGCAGCAAGTTCAAAGGCCTGAGCTGGGCTCATCCAAGGAACAGAAACCCCATCCATGAGAGCGAATTGGCAGTCCTGGACCAGGGATTTTGAAGACTACCTAGAATGAACAGAAGGGACTGGATCACCACCAACTTTTCCTAAGACAAACAAAAATTCAGGTAATTCCCAGGTGCTATAACCCGTAGTGAGGAAATATGAAATGCCAGACCAAAGTAACAGGAATAAACACAGTGCAGTATACAGAAACCACCAGCCAAGGAAGTGCAGCGTCTCGGGGCACATCTCATCTCATTCAGGCAACTCCCCTGTTACGTCCCCCTGAAGAAGTGCTGCTCTGCGCTCACTCAAGTCCTTTCTGTATCTCCCTCTTACAGAAAGGAATCCCATATTGAGACATTCTTCTAGACCTTCCTTCCAGATCTAGTTTCCAATATTCCAAATGAAACATCATGAAATTACAGCAAGTAAAATATCCAAATTTAGGTAAGTTGTTTTCCTGTTATACACTGAGGAACAATCAAAGTTCATATGGAAATAACTGACTGACTTCAAACAATAAAATACATCTTGCTGGTATTTATGAAACTCCTGAATATTCTGAAAGAGAAAAATCACATTTAGAGATTTCAATTCTGAGTATTATTCATTTCGAAACCTGGCTTACTGACTTCCCCAGAGAGCCTGGTTTCCTGCTCAGTTACTGGTTTGCAGAAAACACATCAGTTTCTGGGCCTGGTCATGGTGCCACATACATGTATGTCTGGACAACCCATAATCTCTTTCTACCTCAGATTCCTCAGCAGAAAACTGCCAAAATAACATGTGTTCTCTCTACCTGAAGGCTGACTCTTAGGTTCCTAAAAATTTTAAATTATATGTATTACTGAGGTAGTTACATAGCCCTCTCTTTCATCCATTCATGAGAAATTTTTAAATTCCTACGACATGCAGAGCCCTGAGCTAGGTACTGCAGAATGGTAACCCAGCCCCTACACCCCTTCCCAAAGAGAAAAGAAATACTCAATATTTCTACGAAATAAGGATGTGTGCGAACCATCTCTGCTTTTCTAGATGAGAGTGATGGCTGTTGCTAAATGGATTTCAGGTAAATTTTGATTTTCTAGAATTCCAATTTTAGAATATCCCACCCCTTTGGGACAGTCTAAGCAAGAAGTTGTACAGAGCAGATAGGACACCAGCCACCAGAATTAGGCACAGGAAGACTTGCTCATTCCTGGAATTCATTCTGATCAGTAATCCTGGTTCTAAAAAATAGCTTCACGCTAAAAATATAATCTTCCCTCAGAGCAAGATGAATTTATAGGTGCATCAAGAAGGGTAAACATAGGAAAAGGAAGACGCCACATAATGGCATCAGCTAACAGAACTCATGGCTCGGTGCGGGAGCAGGAAGGGAACAAGGCCGGGCTGCCAGGATCTTGTCAAAGAACAGGCTCCGTGAGTTATGGTGACTGAGGACCATGTGCAATGAAAGATGGGGAACGTCAATGATGATGAGAGTTTTCCAGCCTGCCTGAGTGGGGAGATGCTGGTGTTACTACTGATGAAGGAAAGGCATTCAGCATGCGGGAACGTTAGGCAGGCATTTGAAACAACATAGCTGAAACTCAGGTGAGCAAACAAGGTTGAAGGGATAGATGTGGGTGTCATCTGCACCAGCATTATCCAGGAAGCCCACAGAACATTTGCAGCAGGAGAAAGAGCCCAGCAATCAGGCTAAACTTTTAGAAATGCTCGGAGTTAGAGAACAGGAAGGAGAAAAGCCAGGGGCAGGGACAGAGATCAAGCAAGGAAGTAGAATGACTTCCCTTGGAAATGGGGAGAGGACTCAACGCAGGGCATCAGTACACCCTTGAGCTCCTAATTAAGAAATGTGTCAGCCAAGGAAAAGGAACTAAGATGGTAGCTGGAGCCGACACCAAAATCAGACTAAGATTTTCTTTCAAGGTGAAGGAGAAATAAACAGGTTGGGCTGGAAGTCTATACAGAGGGAAAGTCTGAAGATGCCAGAGAGAGGGAGTAAATATAGCAACAGTATCTCTCACGTGGGATCTGGCTTTAGAGAAAAATAAGGACACAGATTCCTTCAGCTGAAGAGAGGAAGAAGGAAAAACTCGAAGGTTAAAATGTGCTAGAATGAAGAAAGGAAACTCCGAAGTTGCTTATTAAAAGAGTAGGGAGTCACTTATCAAGTAATAATGCAGATTTCAGGAGAATTAGATTTTGGAGTAGCTGTCGATAGATGAGTTAAGTGAATCATTCACAATGAGGAAAGAGTTTGCGGCTAAGTAATGGGTGCTGAATTTTGGTCCCAATTACTAAACAAATTATTTTGTTGCATTCCTTCTCTGTGGCAGGCACGTGTACTTGAAGCCAGACTAGAGTTTACACCGTTCAGCTAGCACCGCCCTGTGACTGAGGCTGAGGGCTGCAGTCACAGGGAGAGATGGTAATACATGTACATGCTTAGGAAGGTGCTGGGCACAGAGTGGGTACCAAGGATGGAGGGGGGCTGCGGCTCAGGAGACGTCTGCCTCAGTGGGGAGGAGTTTTTTTATTACTGACATTGTTCAGAGTTTGCCAGCATAGATTGGTTATTGATTTTAACATGGTTTTGTAATTCTCTGTAGACAATGCAATTCCTTTCTGCCTGCAACTGGAGCAGACATTCCCACCCTTCACCCTCTTACTACCAGATGCACAGTAAGTACTACATAAAGGCTTGCTGGTATCACTGTGATTATTTAGGTAAGGACAGCACGTAGAAATTCTCCAGAAGTGGGAGGGGTTGGGGGGAAGCCTTCCTTACAGCGGAAACAGCACACACGAAGACAAATGGGTATTAAGTAATGGTTTGAATGGACATAATAGTCTTTTTACCTGAGCCAGGAAGAGAGCGGGGCATAGGAGTTCCATCACCAGGAAGGAAAGCGATGCACTTCAGAATGTTTTCTTTGACAGCCATCACTGAAGGCCACTCACAATTTCCCGGGAGATCCTCTGCCTTCAGTTCAGCATTTCCCCCAATTCTTGGCATCGTATGTGGTTGTCTTTCTGCTCTGGAGTCAAGGATGGCTTGAAGATCTCCGCCCTTAAGAGTGCAGTTGTGCCAACGAGCTATTTCTGTGCAGGGCTTCTTTGTGCACCGATGTGAGTACCTATTTTGATGATAAGAATAATCAACTGCTTTGTCTTTGAGAGGGTTCTTACTGCCAGCACTCCTCAGTGAGTGAGATTAAACAGAGGGAGGGACAAAGCCCAGTTACTAATTCATAAAAATGCAACTATAGAAAGAAAACTTTAGCTTGGTTCCATCCATCAGTGACCAGGCTGCTACCCAGGTAAGGGACTGCCTTACAGTGAGGACTGTCGCCCCACTGTCAGGGTCCCCTGCAGGGCAGGGGACAGCTTACTCGAGACCCCCAGGGGGACTGCGTTAGTCAGCTCGGGCTGCTTTAACAAAACACCAAAGACTGGGTGGCTTCAAGGGCGCTGTGTCCCCCCAGGGCTCCACCCATATCTAAACCCAGTTATTTCCCCAAAGGCCCCCCACCTCCAAATACTGTCGCATGAGGATTAGGGCTTCAACATTTGAATTTGGGGGAGAGACAAGGATTCCGTCCATAGCAAGGATGAATGGAGGGATGAGAAGAATGCCAGATACCAGCACATCATATAAGTAAGATGAAAAAAAAAAAAACCCCAGAAAACATAAAACTCGATTTCAGTCAAAAGTAAGCAATAAACTTACTTTACCTTAGAGAGGAAATTTCACTTGCAACTGTGACTCCCTTTGGACTCCTCCTAAGGCAGAGGTGGGTCCCAAACTAAAAAGTGAAACAAAATAACAGGCCAAGTACAATATGATTATGTAGAACCAAAATCCAGAATCAATGCCATTGGAGAACACAGATTAGACAGAATTTTTAATGTGTAGATTAAAAATTAGTCATTTTCAATCTGTAAACCTCTCAGCTCACTCTATAAAATAATTTGAATCACAGCACCATGAAGGACCTAGAGATGATCACACTGAATGAAGTACATCAGACAGACACAGACAAATATATGATAGCACTTTTAGGTAGAATCCCAAAAAAACACCCAAATGCACTTATTTACAAAACAGACTCATAGACATAGAAAACAAGCTTATGGTTACTGAAGGAGGAAGGGGGAGGGATAAATTGGGAGTTTGGAATTTGCAGACAGATACTAACTATATATGAAATAGATAAACAAACAAGGTCCTACTGTATAGCACAGGGAACTAAATTCAGTATCTTGTAATAACCTACAATGAAAATATATATATATATATATATATAACTAAATCACTAGTTTTAAAACCAATAAAATCCCATTAGAAAGCACCCCGATGGACAGGGAACTTAGTTCCAGCCTAGGTAGGCCAAATGACACAGCCCAGCCTAACGCTAAAAGAACATGGGCCCTGGCGCCCTCCACCTCGATTTGCATCCTGGCTTCACAACTCATTAGTTATATGACCTTGGACATGACAGTTAAACTCATAAGCCTCCAATTCCTCATTTATAAATTGGGGTTAATAGTACTACCCACCTCTCAGAGCTGGTGCTAAAATTAAATGACGTTTAGATAGAAAGCACTTGGAATAGTGCCTAAAACACAGTAAGCACTCCATTTCTTTATCAGCATTACTTTTTTTTTAAAGTTAACTAACCATTGTGTCAGCACAGGTACATGACCAATGTCCTTGGGGAGGCAAGGCCCTGGTGAAATCAGAAAAGCAACGTGTAATTTACCATCAAAATGTCAGACCAGGGAAGGGTCCCCTTCATCCCTGTGGTGCCCACTAGAGCCAACAGCGCAGGCTGCCATGGAGAGAGCACAGGGATCTGGGGAGTCGGGAATGGGAAGCGCCCCCACGGCCTGAACGCAGCAGCCCCCAAACTCAACCCCTTTTCTTCTCACCCCTCCCAGCCCGTTCCCCATGCCCCCATCCTCCTCTTTTCTATACTATATATACACCCAGCAGGCAACTTCCAGGTCACCCTCCTGCCTTAGCCCACCCATCACGAGGACCTTGGAAGTCCATCGTTTTCATTCACTGTCTGCACACACACTACTGCAGTTGCCTTCTTACCTGTCTCTGCCTCTACCCTCTGTCCAGGCCAGCCGTTCTCGTCAAAACCTCCAGAGGAACCCTTCAAACTTGCAAAACCAATCATGACACTTCCCCAGTAAAATCTACAGTTCCTCACGCCGCATCTCTCCTCCGTGCTCCACTCTAAATTCCTTCCACTCCCACGGTCCTATTTCACACTCGCCATACGGAATCACTACAGGTTCCACAATCTCTCACATTCTCCCCCACCTCTGCGCCTGGCGCGCACGCTCCTTCTTCTGCGTGGGATTCCCCCATCCGTTTTTCTACCTAGAAATCTCCAACTCCTCCGACAAGGCCCAATGTCAAACTGCCGCCTCTCTGGAGTCTTCTCACCTTCCGCAGGCTGAGCCATGCACTGTCTTCCACACATTTATGGCATCACACGTAACTCCATCACCAGTGTTCTCTCCACTCTGTACTGGTCTGTGTGCAGGACTCTCGGTCTCCAGCCTGGAGCCTGGATATTGTAGACCATGACAAGAAAAATAAGAACAATGTAATAACCAGCAATAATAACAATAAATCCTTCCTTTTGTTTCTAAAAAATCCTAGTAATGTGGATTCTCTGGTAGATTCTAGGTACTTGGCTAAGCCATTTATTAGATTGAACCATATAAAATTGCTATTTTTTATTAGTCAAAATGGTCACATATGGGTGATTTCAAATACTTCACCCCAGAACATGCATCTTTTCAATTTAATCTTCACAACCACCTTTGTAAATATATTAGCCCCATTCTGTGGGTAAGAAAATTGAGGCTCAGGTTTTAAGTAACTTTGCCTAAGGTTCTAGAATAAGAAAGTGAAGAAGCCAGGACTCTAATCCCAGACTGCATCTCCTCTCATGCTCTTAACCAGGGCTGCATCCTGACTCCCAGATTATTGATTTAATTGTTTAGTCAACTAATGAAGCAATGACCTGAAGGTCCCTGGAGAAATGATGATGGTCCCATAAAATAAAGATGCAAGTCTCTGTTCAGCCCGTCCAGAGAGGACAAATTCTGATGTCTGTGTGGGAGTTAAAGCAGGCTCAGCAGCCAGCAAAGGCAGCTGAAATACTGAAATGAGTTAATAAAGGTAATAGAATCTCTTTCAAGGGAAGGATGTCTTCCCCCAACAGAAGACAGATTCTTATCTGTTTGAGATGGTTTAAATAGAATCCTTTTTGAAGGTCAATAAATTGGACTCACCAAGTCCTTTCCAGGCTCCTTATGATACTCAGATGCACGGGCTTAACGTGGCTTGGTGCACGGCTGGAAAATGGGACAGTGCTGATCCTCCCGCCAGAAAAGCATCTCTTCCTCCTTTACACTCCCTCAGCCCTCTGACTCAACTGTCTTTGGGACATATGTCGTGATTTTCATATACTGTTCTGCTTTCTGCAAGAGAAAATGCATCTAAAACATGAAGTATGTGTGGTTCATTCTGACACTTCCCACAGTACCCAACAAGTGTTTAGTGTTTTATTAAAGAAACAAAATTGATTAAATGGAGTTTCTTTCCTTTTCTGAAAGAATCCTATAGTACCCAACTGAAAATAAGCCCCTAGTTTTCATCCAGAACCTATTATTAAAACTGGGCAACTCACACCATGGGGGCAAAGTTTTCTTAAATATACTTTTGGTCCAATAATTATCAGATATAACATAACTTTTTATCTTTCTCTTTGCATCATTTTGAAATATGGTCAATCAGATGTTAATTCCTTTTAGTTAAAATGTCTGAAAGGGGAGCCAGCATTTCAGCCAACAGGAAAGGAATCTAGCTAGATTATTAATGGAAAGTAACACATCCAGGTATTTAAATGTTTGGCAATTCCGAGTTAGAGTCACTACTATCTCAAAATAAGTCGCATGGAAGTTTTCCCATAACTGACATTCCAGAGAAACAATGTTTCATGATGATAATGAGTAAAGTACAATACAAAAATTGCTCTAGACACTTATTCTCAATAAAAATAACAGTAATAACTATCCTCGTATTGAATATTAAAAGAAAAAACTTTCAAATGATCTAGCTCATCTGATCCATGTAACAGTCCTGTCCACTCATATCACCACTTTAGAAGATATTTACAGAAAACGTGGATCAGAGAGGAAGAAAACGGCTGTGACTCACAATGCTAGGAATAGCAGAGTCTAGACTGGAACTCAAGCATTTTCCTGATTTCAAATCTCATGGTCTTTCTACTGAATCTTTTTGTCCACGTGGCCAATCTAAAAAAAAAAAGGAATAGCATTTCTACTTCAGCAATAGAAAAAAGAAAATCAAAATCCAGATAAAAGTGATCAGTTTCCTGGAGGAGGCACATTTTCTTATCTTGGTAATTGAGCTGGAACATTAGTTTCTCACATCTTGTTAAAAAATACCAATAGCTAACATTTTAGTGAGCATTTGCATCCTGCTACTGTTAAGTGCTTTATATGGACCAATTCACCTAATTCTTACAAGTTGAAGGGTTGGTCCTCTTTCTCTTTTATAAATGTGGAAACTGCAGTTTACAAAGATTAAGCTCAAAGACGTTAACTTTCCCAATCCTGTGACCTTGGGAAAGCTAACTGGCAGAGCTGTGATCTGAACCCATGTCAGCAAAACCCACAGCCTACGCTCTTAACCACCATGCTAATCTCTCTGCCAGTGGTTCTCAAAGCTTGGTCCTGGGCAGGCAGCATCAGCATTCCTGGGAACTTGTCAGAAATGTGAATTCTCTGTGAACACCCAGACCTACTCTGGGAGAGGGGCCCAACCATCTATGTTTTTAAAAGCCTTCTAGGTGCTTCTAAGTCACACTAAAATCTGAGAACTTCTGTGCTAGACTGAAACAACAGTAAGTGGTAACCATTTACAGGGATTCAGTATATGCTCTGAGCTATTAGGGAATGCAAAAAAGGAAGTGAGAGAAGTTAGCAACAACTAATAAGGTTGTCGTAAATGAAAATCTTCAGGGGATAGTAGAGCCAAAAAGGGAAGAAATAATCTTAACTAGTGCATGCAGAAACTGAAAACAGCAATGATTAGCAATTAATCAGGCAGTATGTTACACTGTAATCAAGGATCAGAAAATTCCGGAAGGACTAAATGACACAGAGTTTATTACTGCACGGTAAACGATCATTAATAAAACGTGGCTGTTAAAAGAACCAAAGAGATGAATAATCATACAAAGGAAATGTCAGCTGCAGAAGGAATAACTTGTGGTCTTAATCACTCAGAGAAATTATAGGTATGGACACAGAATCAAAAGGAGAATGCAAATTAGCAGTGCTATGAGAATAAGGCACACACCTGATTGCTCTGTTACAGATATAAGATTAAGATGGTTGCAAATACACCATGCACTGGTAAATGAAAAGTGTGACCTGGCTAACATTTCAATGGCTAAAAGTAACGAATTTACATAATTGTAGTTGCATATTGTTTGGCATCAGTCCCCATCTCTGGTGTAGAAACAAGAAACTATCTTGTTGAAATTGCTAAAAAAAAAAAAAAAAAAAAGGTAGAGACTACCTAACTTGAGATTTATCTGGTTGATGACCTCTGCCGACCTGTAAATTTCCTAAAGGATTAACTCTGCACATGAGTGTTTCCAAAGAGACGACCAAGGGCAGCTTCCAAGGGCATGTCATTCCAATATCATTCATTACATCTCTATAGAGGACTGCTTTTTCAGAGCACAACGTGGAGGGACTGAAAAGTGTTATCAAGAAGAAAAATACCTGCAAGTCTAAGAATGAAAAGACAAAGGATTCTAACAGAGCCACCAAAAGTCATTATACAACAAAACTGTGGGTTATTCCCTTTCATTTGAGAGCTACCGATTTGAGATCTTTAAAAAAAAAATTTGTCAGTTGAAAAGAAGCAAATCAAAAAGAATATGGTAATTAAAGCTGTCAAAAGAAATATTAACCAATAAAATTGTCTAGCTGGACTTTATGAAGAGGTATCATAACTTCTATGGAGGAAAAAGTACATTCTTCTCCAACTTAGTCTTTTTGCAGGAATTTTTCATTCTCATAGCAAGAAAAATTAGCTAAATTAGTTAAAACGTATTAACTATTTTTATGTGCCAGGAATCATCCTAAACTCGATACATACGTTATCTACCATAATTTTTATAGCAACTCTACTTGATGTATGTGTTATTGTTACCCTCTCCCAGTTTCATATTTTATTGATAAAGGAATTGAATGGCATGTCCATTGACGGATGACTGAGTAAAGAAGTTGTGGTATATTTATACAATGGAATACTACTCAGCCATAAAAATTACTAAAATAATGCCATCTGCAGCAACATGGATGAACCTGGAGAATGTCATTCTAAGTGACATGAGCCAGAAAGAGAAAGAAAAATACCATATGATATCACTTGTATGAGGAGTCCAGAAAAGAAAAAAAAAGACAAACTTATTTACAAAACAGCAGCAGACTCACAGACATAGAAAACAAACTTATGGTTTCTGGGGTGGGGAGGGATAAATTGGGAGTTCCAGATTTGCAGATACTAACTAACACATATAAAATAGATCAACAAAAAATTCATACTGGAACTGTATTCAATATCTTGTAACTTATGGTGAAAAAGAGTATGAAAACGAATACATGTATGTTCATGAATGAAGCATTATGCTGTACACCAGAAATTGACACATTGTAAACTGACTATATAAGTCAATAAAAAAAGTATATATTTTTAAAAAAGGAAACTGTATTACAGACAGTTACTTTCCAAAGATGGCCCCCAATAATTCCTCCCCTCCTTATATGTACAAGCTGCTCATCCCATTAATAAGTGGAACTTAAATTATCTCCCCTTGAATCTTCTGAGTCTAAGACTAATTTGGCCAATAGAATGCAGAGAAACAAATATGAGTATTCGAAGCCAGGTATTAAGAAGGCCAAGCAGTTTCTACATCTTGAAATCTAGCCGCCATGTTTGAGGAAGCTCAAGCAGCCATGTGGAGAGGCTCTTGTGGGAATAATCAAGACCCTTGGTTCACAGTTTCAGTTAAGCTCCCAGCCAAAGCCAGTACCAAATGGCCAGTCATGTAAGTAAGCCATCTTGGAAGTATATCCTCCAGCCCCAGCTAAAACACCCCAGCTGGTAGCACATGGAACAGAGATAAGCTCCACCAAACCCTATCCAGATTGCAAAATCATTGTTGATTTAAGCTACCAAGATTTGAGTTGGCGTACAACACAGCAAAAGACAACTGAAACACTGAAGTATGCAAGAGTGCACACCAAGATAGTCAAGTCAGGGACACCATACGTTCTTTCTCATATCAATTAAGCTGCATGTGAGAATGTGCAAAGAAAGGATTCCAATTAGAGGCAGGGGTGAATAGAAAAAGTGCTTACATGGACACTTCTGTCAACAGTCACTGAGAACCTGTGAGGTTCCAGGGACTGAGCCCGGATGGTACAGATAAAAAGGTGAATTGTCAGAGTCCAGAGGTCAAGAAATTCTCCATGCAAAACAAAATTTCAGTACCACAGGAAATGATCACGTTGATGCAAAATGATGCATAGATGTTTGGGATCACTTGATTAGGGAGCCTGAGTTAAAAAGTTAATGCTCTTATTAGCCCAGAAATAAACCCACAAACTTTTGGCCAGTTAATCTTTGATAAAGGAGGCAAAAACATACAATGGAGTAAAGACAGTCTCTTCAGCAAATGGTATTGAGGAAACTGGACAGCTGCATGTAAATCAATGAAGTTAGAACAGTCCCTCACTCCTTACACAAAAATAAACTCAAAATGGCTTAAAGACTTAAACATAAGACAAGACACAATAAATCTCCTAGAAGAAAACATTATCCGACAAAACATTATCTGACATAATCTCAGCAATGTTCTCCTAGGGCAGTCTACACAAGAAATAGAAATAAAAGCAAAAATAAATAAATGGGGCCTAATTAAACCTATAAGCTCTTGCACAGCAAAGGAAACCATAAGCAAAACAAAAAGACAACCTACAGAATGGGAGAAAATATTTGCAAAAGATGAGACTGACAAAGGCTTAATTTCCAGAATATATAAACAGCTCATACAACTTAATAACAAAAAACCAAACAACCCAATCCAAAAATGGGCAGAAGACCTAAACAAGCAATTCTCCAAAGAAGATATAGGCACTTGAAAAAGTGCTCAATATTGCTCATTATCAGAGAAATGCAAATCAAAATTACACAATGAGGTATCACCTCACACCAGTCAGAATGGCCATCATTCAAAAGTCCGCAAGTAATAAATGCTGGAGAGGGTGTGGAGAAAAGGGAACCCTCCTACACTGCTGATGGGAATGTAGTTTGGTGCATCCATTATGGAAAACAGTATGGAGATTCCTCAAAAGAGTAAAAATAGACTTACCATATGATTGAGCAATCCCACTCCTGGGCATATATCCAGAGGGAACCTTAATTCAAAAAGATACATGCACCCCAGTGTTCATAGCAGCACTGTTTACAACAGCCAATACATCGAA